GGGGTACTGTGAAGCACTGCCACACAACACCACCAAGAGCGCGAGCATGCGTTGAAACTTCCTACTACTTCTCTCCTTAGTAGCGCGAAATAGCCTATAGTTGAAAAGCAAAACATGGCGAAGAAGCGAAGTATGAAGCAATTAATCGAAATGTTATCAAAATCACAATTTGGCCAAGTGCAATACGCCAACTGCAGAAACTGCAATTTCAAGTGCTTTAGTGCTGCAGAGATGCCCTGTCCTACAAATTTTATTAGTTTTTTCAGTGACAATTACATTTAACATTTACATTTTTACAGTCTGACACTAATTCTTGTTATTTGATTTTTTTCCCCAATATACAACAATAGAGTGACTGAATGAATTTATATATAAAGGAAATGATAACATTACTCCTATAATTGAAGTAATGTAATGGTTTGTGCCAGACATTTATAGCACCCTACAACACTGAGACTCTCTGTATGTTTCCTGTTTCCTGCCCGCCAGCAACAAGACAGGTGAGCTGCTCCACAGCTGCCATGTGTTCAAACTAGTCATGATCGCACCTCATGCAACACAGCTTACCACGACACTTACACTGCTGGCAGACTCTTAATATTTCCTAATGGAAATTCAGCACTGAAGGAATGCTAAATTAAAAAGGACTATTACTGAGCTGCAGCCAAAGGGGGCACATTTTTATTAATACATACAGACAACAGGTAACACAGGCAGCATTTAATTAAGCTCAACCCACTCAAGGCCTTTGGCATATGGAACTGGTATGAATATTTTACTGCCAGGCATACACTGACTGATAACTCTACCAACCCTAAACGTATTACACAGAAAAAGTATATAAAAACAATATTCTGGGTGGTTATCAGGGTGTTGCTTGGGGGTACTTGGGTACAACCATGTTCTGTGTGTTAGGAGTAATTACAGAGATAGTACCCTTTTATTTATATGTATTTTTATTTAATGTGTATTATATTTTTACTGTAATACAGCTGCAGAGTGGACACTTAGACCTACAGTTGGGGGCATGGTGCATTGTCAAAATGCACAGCAACCAGTTTTTAGGAAGTGACTGACTTTGCTGCTACTTGCTGACATATCAGTACTTGAAACTGATGGCTGCTCCTCATTTATTTTGTGCTACTGTGAACTCAAAACACAGGGCATTTGCAGCCAGTGTCAGTATGGATAGACTACTTCTAGTCTCTATGCTAAGCTAGGCTAACAGCATCCTGACTCCAGCTCTGTGCTAAAGACACATATCCACCTTCTTACCTTCCTCTTAGAAAGGAAGCAAAATGTTAAACTACTCATGGGAAGCGCTCATGCCAATAAACAGAACCCTAAAGACCTGGCACAGACACTCAAAGCACATACAGGAAAAGATGCACAGGTCGCCCCTATTCTATTGCATTTTTTAATTTGTTGCCCTCAGTGATTGATCATTGGTCATTTACAACAGAACTCTGGGTCCATGTAAGCACATTTACTGTTCCCACCACTAACAGTATCAGTTTCAAACTATTTTGGAACATGGGAGCTTCATGTGTCATTTCCTCTTGGGTTATTTCTGACACATTTCACTAATACAAACAAACCATGCAAGAGGGTGCAAGAGCCCTGTGAGACTCACACATTTATCTGCAATGTGTGAGCAATAATGATTTGTGAATCATAATACTGGCACAATGTGCAACTTGCATGTAAGCAGTGCTCACTAATCTCATGACTGAAATTAGACTAAAAACAGTTCCTTTAAACTAGAGATGCAATGATCAGTTGATTAATTGATTAATTACTTTTTTAGTATTAATCATTTTGAGTAATAATAATAAGGAAACATGTCAAAATTCGGCATCTCAAATGTGAATATTTTCTGCTTTTTTTAGTCCTCTATGACAGTAAACTGAATATCTTTGGGTTGTGGACAAAACAAAACAATGGATGTCACCTTGGGCTTTGGAGAAACTAATAAACATTTTTCACAATTTTCTGACATTTTATAGACCACTCTACGACAGAGTATTAGGGCCAGACTAAGAAAATGTTTTTATTTTTTTGGGAAATTACGAGAATAAAGTCATTATATTACGAGAATAAAGTCATAATGTTGTGAGAATAAAATCGTAATATTACGAGAATAATCTAATAATAATAAGAAAAAAAGTATTTTAATGAGAAAAAAGCTTCGATAGAGTTATCAAGATCTGACGTGACCAGTTCAACCAAACAGCAGCTTCAGCCTGAGCCCAGCAGCCGCTGTTTGTCTCAGTCGTACCGTACAGTCAACAGATAAAATAACGTATTGATAATTTCGTCCTTAAATTATTTATAATATATTTATTTATTCACTTAATGTTACGACTTTATTCTCGTAATATTATGACTTTATTCTCGTAATGTTACGTCTTTATTCTCGTAATATTACGACTTTATTATCGTAATATTACGACTTTATTATCGTAATATTATGACTTTATTCTCGTAATTTCCACCCCCAAAAAATATTTTTTTCTCTTAGTATGGCCCTAATACTCCGTCGTACCAAACAGCTAATGGATTCGTCAATAAAATGATTGACAAATTTATCCATGATAAAAACCATGTGTTACTTTCAGTATGTGCAGGTTGGTTGGCACAGTCACCCTTCCCTGTGGTCAGAAACTCAACAAAGTTCTCAGTGAGCTAGGAAGACATTTTTCCATCCCCACTGGTACTGCAGTGAAACAAAATCAGCAAGAGTAACTTTAACCCAAATAACTGATTAAAAACTTGACTAAAAGGATGTCACAGCAATATCTTTTCATAGGTTAAGGAAAATAAAAATGATTATAAAAAGTAGGGCATAATACATACACTGAAATGCGATTATTTTAACAAACAGATGTTAAAACAAATTACACTGAAAATATTAGGTTACACAAACTCAGTAGGGCTGCCACTTCATAGTTGACTCAACCGTCACTCTTCTCTGAGAAGAGTCTTCATCAGTCTGATAGTTGCAAAAAAACAACGTTAAACTGCGCCTTGTCACCGGGACAAAAGTATCAGGGAACTGTTCTTTCTCTTGACACACAGAGACTCACTTACCTGTGCACTGTTACATATGCTAACTGTACTAACAGTCATTAGCTACTCAGCTGTCCTATTAGCTGACTCCACCTGGACTGGTAGCTTGACCGACAGAAAGTTTAAACACTACTAGCGCAGGAGCGGGGGACCCAGTGGCTCACAGCCTCAACGGAGGCCAGCTGATTTGCAGCGGCCCCGACCAGGACTCTGACTCTAGGGATGAAGACATGGGGGGGTTCAGGCAAGGACGGAGTAAGAAAAACGAAGTAAGAGGAACAAACTTGTACTTACAAAAAGTTAATTTGTAAGTAACTTAACTTAATACATTGTCCAGGGCATCGATAAGTCTGCGAATATTTCTTATAGTGAAGCTTGAAGTTATTTATTCCAGGTTTTGAACAAGACTTGTGTGATGTTCAGTCTCCTTGCTGGTTGTTCTGACATATTCAGAATCATTACCATTTTTTCCGTTATCATTTAACAAAATATATATGTTTAAATGATTAAATTAATATCATAAACATGTGAGGACTAGTCGACTATTGGCTTTATCTAATGACCAGTGTTGGGCAAGTTACTTTTAAAAGTAATTAGTTATTACTAGTTACGTCTTCCAAAAAGTAACTAAATTAGTTACTCAGTTACAAATTATAAAAGTAACTAGTTACTTCAGAAAGTAACTATTGCATTACTTTCAAGTACATTTTTAAATGCTCAGATGTGACCCCACCTCCACCCCTCTTTAACGAAACTTAAAATACATGTGCATGTTCAATTATTTATGATAAATCTGAATATTATAATGAGATTGACACTTAATACAATCCATTATTAACAGAAACAATGTACACAAGTCTAAACTATTTTAATGTTGCTGTGGGACAAAGTGAGACTAGCCTCCAATAAAATGCCATGTATGTAGATATTATGTTCATATAGTGGATCCATACAAATAACACAATAGATGTTTTGGAACTTTTGATATTTATTGCCCCTCAACAGGCCACAACTGGGCAAAATTAAATGATGCTTGTTAAGCACTATACCAAAAATAAATAACAAATATATACACTCTTTGTAGTGCAAATAAAACAAAACAACTTCAGACAATCGGTAGATATACTGTACTTCAAGTATTTTTTCCTCGAAAAAATAGAACAGTGTAACAATATGAGGTATTTTTTTTTTTTTTTTTTTTTTTTTTTTTTTTTTTTTTTTTTTTTTTTTTTTTTTTTTTTTTTTTTTTTTTTTTTTTTTTTTTTTTTTTTTTTTTTTTAAAAATAATTATTAACGGCCGCATTAGTAACGACCGTTATTTAAAAAGTAACGCCATTATTCCCATCACTGCTAATGACCACTATTTGACTAGTAAAATCTTTAGTCGGGGGTAGCCCTGTTTACAATGTAAAACTATCTAAATTTTTGAAGTTAAAAAACTTACTTAGTAGTAGTGTTTTACTAGGTATTTTGTTTTCACAGTACAAGATCAGTGTCACTTAAAATTACTTAGCTACCTGATAAGAATGTTTTTAACTTAGAAAATTGAGTTAGTTTTACTTAAAATGTTCAGTGTAATCAGTTTCAACATTTGTTTTAGTTAAAAGAATGTATCTGGTCATACAGTGATAGGACAAAAAAAATCTAATTATATATTTATCAGTGTATGAACGATTTTATATGACGTTGTAGTTAAATTCTTGCACGTGAGTAGTTTTTAAAGATGTGGCCAAACATCCTGTTTGTGATGAGCAGTACTGACATGAGGTAACCTGTAGTGACGGGCAGCTCGGAGATGCTCGCTCACTGACTGACAGCGGCGGCAAATCACACGCACACACGCACGCACGCGCGCACATGCACGCGGCCGTCTGTGATGCTGTGCTGCAGGGTAACTAACGTTAGATAATGGGTTTTTTTGCTCTCCTTACCCTCCGTCCTCCTGCTCCGTATTGGCTGGCGCTCCACCGGGCCCGGTTATCCGCCGCTGGCTCTCCGTTACCGGGCAGCGAGCCGGAGTCCGAATCCTCCCCCTCCTCCAGCTCCTCTTCCCCCTCCTCTCTCTCCTCCGCCTCTGTCTCCCTCTCCTCCGTTTTTAGCCGCTTTGCCGCCCTTCCGTACTCCCCTTCCTCGCGCTGCCCGGCTCCTTCTACCGTCGACATGCTTGCGGCTGAGGTAGACCTGTTGGAGAAGCGCGCCTGTGTCCGGAGCTGGTGGTCAAACAGACACTTCCATGTCAGCAGTTATCCCCGTAGTGTCCCCTCCTGAAGCAGCCTCCGTGTATCTGTCCGTGTCTCCTTGCGTATGTGTCTCTGTCCCTGTCTCGCGGCTCCACTCTCGGTCCCTGTCGCTCACCAACACCAGTGATTTTCTATGTGTGGAGGTGTGAGCGGACAGGACGCAGCCCGCCCCGTGCTCTTCTCTCATTGGTCAGTGCGGTCCTGCGCCTCGGAAACACGGCGTGTGATTGGCCGCTGTCGATGCGTCAACAGACAGCTTTCCACACTCTGCAGAGCAGTGCGCAGAGAGGGAGCAAACAGGGGGAATGGTGGGCTAGCTAGACACACAAGGAGACAGACTTAAAATTGCAGAGCGTAGGAAAAAACAGAGAGAGAGCATTTGCTGTATCATTAGAGGGATCATTCTCTGTCATCTATCATGTCTGGCTTAATTCCTCACAAGAAATCAGTGGGCCTTACTAACCTTCCTGAAAGCTCTTTGAACATTATTCTAAGTAGGCTGCAATGCCCTCATAAAAGGTCATGCTAAGTTTATAAAGGACAAATGGAGCTACATTGATTGATCACATACCCAGCTATAAAATTAGGAAGATTTGGCTAAAGGTATAGTGATTAATGTGAATTTCTTTGGGCGTATTATTCTTATGTTGTGGTAAAAAATAAAGGTGTACAGTACTCACGTCATTAAATTCCCACACATTTAGGGGGATTGTCTTGAATAAAATAACATGAAATGCCATACACATTGTTATATGCATTTCCTTTAACACATTTATTCTATGTCACAATTAAATGGAAAATATACATGTTTAAAGGACCAGTGTCAAGGATTTAGTGGCATCTAGTAGCAGATTGCAACTAAGTGAACACCGGTCATGTCGGTATCTGATGACCGTGAATGAGAACGAACTGTGAAGTGTGTAGGAGAAACTAAAGTTGCTCTGAAACACAAAAGGCCCTATCTACAGCCAGTGTTTGGTTTGTCTGTTCTGGGCTACTGGTGGTCATGGCTGTTCAACATGGCGGCCTCTGTAGAAAAGGACCCACTCCCTCTGTAGATGAAACTCATTCTAAGGTAATGAAAACACAATAATTCCATTATTAGGGGCCGAGCCAGCGACTGCTGGAAGGTCCCTATTGTTTTTGGTCCGTTTATTATTATTCTTCATAGCCCTTTTGACTGCATTTTTGACCCCCTGAACGTAAACTTTACGTGAATTTTATTTGGCAAATTTTTCGGGCCTGGTGCGATATCGGATATTCTATGTGTCACATTCAGGTCAGCCACTAGAAAGGCCACTAGGTGGCGCTACTTTTAGGCAAATTTTGATAGGCTAATAACTCCCGCATTGTTTGTCTCACATTCAAAATCCTTATATCCACACGTTCGGTGAATGGAGCTGAACCTCCCTGTATAGGCCACGCCCACTTCCGCCCAATTTGTTTTCCGCTAGAGTGCGAAATGTCCAAAAACTACGTTTTCGTGTTCCATCCATGCACTTTTGTCCCATTCGCACGAAACTTTGCACGTAGCATCTGGAGACCGTACTGACAAAAAGTAATTTAAAGTATTTTGATATTTCAAAAAATAAGCATGTTATAAAATTAGCACTTCCTGTTGATTTTTCGTCAGAAAAGGAAGTTGGGCATTTCTCCACATTGGTATGTCCGACTGACACCAAACTTGCGTCAATAGTTTATCATGTCTTCATTATGCATCGTACATAATTTCAGGTCATCACCACTAGGTGGCGCTTTTTAAAATGAAGAAGTTTATATCTCCGCAACGGCAAGTGTTATTAAAATGAAACTTGGTAGGATGATTGCCCATGGCTCCCTGAGGCTCACCATAAAAGGAAAAAAAATCACACCAATATGTGGCACTCTGGTGGCAGGGTAAATCACTATGCGGAGACCGTAATAGTTATGAATATGAAATTCACAGGACACGTGAAGAGTGGTGCCTGTAGCTCACATACCAAAAATCGTGTTTGTCGTGTTTGTAGCGCCCCCTACAGGACTTTTAAAAGCAGCCCCGGCGCCACGTTTCACTGATATGTATGAAACTCGGTAGGCATGTGTAAGGTGCCGAGACGTACAAAAAAGCCTCTTGGACCCATACCCCAAAACCCACAGGAAGTCGATTCGATTTTAATTTTCACCATGTGGTCATTTTGACTTTTTGGGCTTGTATTTGAACGAACTCCTCTTAGGAAATTTCTGGGATCTGCTTCAAAATTGGTCAGTACAGTCATAAAATGGTACTGAATGAACACCGTTCAATTTGTGACTCTACGTTGAAGGGCGTGTCCGTGGCGTGCCGTCAAAGTTGGCCATTTTGAAGTCTGTGGTCATTTTCGGTGAATTTTCGCCTTGTATTTGAACAAACTCCTCCTAGGGAATTTATCGAATCTGCTTCAAAATTGGTCAGTACAGTCAAACAGTGGTGCTGAATGAACGCTGTTCATTTTGTGACTGTACATTGAAGGGCGTGTCCGTGGTGTGCCGTCAAAGTTGGCCATTTTGAAGTCCGTGGTCTTGTATTTGAACTAACGAACTCCTCGAGAATTTATCAGACCTGCTTCAAAACTGGACAGTACTCTTGAATAATGTTGCTGATTACAAGTTGTGCTATTTATGACTGTACGTTGAAGGGCGTGTCTGTGGCGTGCCGTCAAAGCTGGCCACTGTGATGCCATTTCTGGCATTTCAGGGCTTCTATTTTAACTAACTCCTACAGATTTTATCATATTGACTTCATATTCGATCTCTGCAATCTGGACACATTGGTGATCATAAGTTAATCAAATATTTACTGTGCATCAAACTGTGTGTCCGTGGCGCGGCGCTGAATTTCCACCTTTCGCAGTGAAGAGTCTGACTATGAAAGTGTAAGTCATTTGCAGTGTCTGAAACGTGTGACAATGTCTCCCTCAGCTTCAGGCGATGAGGGCTTGGGAGTGGGGTGACATGAAAATTTCATGTTGTTGTCCGAACGTGTTACGACGGCATGTGACGCAGCTGCACCACTCCCCGAGTTGCGTGGAGTGCGAGGTCCCACCCAACGCTGCTTGCAGCTTTAATTAGGGACCGAGTCAGCGACCGCTGGAGGTCCCTATTGTTTTTGCTCGATTTCTTACCTATTATTATTATTTTTAGGCCACTTCGACTGCGTTTTTGCCCCCCTGAACATATACGAAAACTCAATTTTATTTGGCAAAGTGGTCAGGCCTTGTGAAGATTTTATATTCTATGTGTCACTTTCAGGTCGGCCACTAGGTGGCACTATTATCATAAAAAGTGCGTTTAGGCTAATAACTTCTGCATAGTTTGTCGCACATTCAAAAACCTTATATCCATGCATTTGGTGAATGGAGATGAATCTTCCTATATAGGCCCCGCCCACTTCCGCCTATAATTTTTTTTCGTTAGAGCGCAAAATGTCCTTAAAGTACTTTTTTCCGTGTTCCTCCTACATGCTTTGTCCGATTTGCACAAAATTTTTCACCTACCACCTGGGGACCTGGGGAATTTGAACATTTTTTAAATTTCAAAAAATAAGCGCGCTATAAAATTCCAACTTCCCGAACATTTTTCGTCAAAAAAGGAAGTGGACCATTTCTCCACATTGCTATGTCCGATTGACACCAAACTTGGGTCCATAGTTCCACATGTCTTCCTTAAGCATCGTGCACAATTTCAGGCCATCGCCACTAGGTGGCGCTCCTTAAAATGAAGAAGTTTATATCTCTAAAACTGTATGTGTGATTACGATGAACCTTGGTACAATGCTTCCCCATGGCTCCCTGAGGCTCGCTAAAAAATGTGTCAACAACCTGCCACTAGGTGGCGCTCTGGTGGCATGGTAAATCACTGTGCGGAGACCGTAATAGTTATGAATATAAATTTTAACTAACTCCTCCTACAGATTTGATCACGTTGACTTCAAATTCGATCACTTCAATCTACACACATTGGTTATCAAAAGTTGTCCTATTTGTGACTGTATGTTTAACCGTGTGCCCGTGACGACGTGTCGAATTCCACCGATTGGCCATCAAACAGATAGTACTCATATCTTCAGTGTACAGTCCCACCCTGAACACGTCCTCATAACTTCAGCGTACATGATCCAATCTCAATGAAACTTCACGTGTTTGATAACAGTCCCACCCTGAACACGTCTACATGACAATATTCAGACATAGTGATAGTGCCACATACTGGTAACAGGAAGTATCACATTTTATACTTTCATGTTGTACTCCTCGCAGGATGATCAGATCCAGCTGAAATTTACTTGTAAAATGCAAAACACATTGTTGATGATATGTGTTGACTGTGGTGAGGGGGCGTGTCTGTGGGGTGGCGGGAAATTTTGATGGACCGCCACAAAACACGAATTCGCTATAACTTGAGTGTACGTTGTCCAATCGGCTCCACACTTCAAATGCTTGATAACAGTCCCGCCCTGAACACGTGTACATGACAATATTCAGACATAGTGATAGCGACACCTACTGGCAACAGGAAGTAAGCGCTGCGTGGTGATTTTGAGATGATTAACGGCAGATTTTCATGTTGTGGTCCGCACGTGTTACAACGGCACGCGACGCGGCCGCAGCACGCCCCGAGTTGCGTGGAGTGCGAGGTCCCACCCAACGCTGCTTGCAGCTTTAATTCTTTATACAATTATAAAATAATGAAAACATACCTCTGGATATTATATTCCATTTCTGACAATAAATCTTCCTAAATCTTACACACTGGAGCTTTAACATATTAATTTTTTTATCTAAATGTAACACGATAAATGCACACATAAAAAGAGTTGTTTTAATTTAAAAATGTCTGTAAACTTGTAAGGGACTGATTAAAAAAAGAAAAGTCAAAATTGACTTTTAGTTCTTATTAAATCAGGTTTTATACCAAAATGTTTAAATATGTGAAAATTGGTTCTTTCATATGCTGACAGAAGACCTGTCATCCCCAACCCATGCTACCAATGGGGGCTCCCAACCTCCAGGTGCCAGGGAACCCCATCCTGGGTCTTTTTGTTAGAATCTATTATTCAAACTTAACAACCCTAGTTTGTAAATCAGGTTTTCTGTAGAAATGTCCAGTCTTACCGGTATGTTACGTGCGGAGCTACTG